GAATGGAGGGAAGGTCTTACGACGAAAGGTTGAAAGAGCTAGGGCTTTTCTCTTCAGAACGACAAAGGATGAGAGGTGACTTGATAGAGGTGTACAAAATGATCAGAGGTATAGATAGAGTGCACAGCCAGAGACTTTTTCCGAGGGTGGAGGTAGCTATTACGAGGGGGCATAGTTTTAAAGTGAGTGGAGGTAGATGTAGGGGAGACATCCAAGGTAGATTCTTTACACAGAGAGTGGTAGGGACGTGGAATGCTTGACTGCTTTGCCATTCGCGCAGCATCAGTTGAGATAGAAACAAGGTGAAATTGAAGGTGGCTGCAGAAAGACGCACTGGTAACAGTTAAGTAATGGAGGTCGCAGTTCTCGCGGTCTTTTGCGGCCCAAAAACTGCTGCAGCCCGCATTGTTGCTCAGTCTGAGCTCGGCTCCGCTCCGTTAAACACCTGGAGCTGCAGTCGGTATGCTTTGCTCTGATGGGTGAGCGCGAAGGAAGGCGGACAACAATCGCGCCCATCAACCTCTGATGGTGATAGGCCACCTTCAAGTTCGCCACACATGCCAGGTAAGAATGTCTGCCAATAATCACATTGAAACTACCGCAGAAACCTGCGAATTCGTGGCTTACCTTCCAAATCATTTAGTTCTTGCTTCGTCCTCAGCAAGTGTACTTTAAAATACCTTCAGTGTGCTGAAGATTCCTGGTTGAAATTTGGAATATAATGTAACATCAATTTCTGTCTGATTGACGCTTTTGGGAACTACCTTGTGAATATGTTCTTGCATTAAACAACTGTGCAATTGGTCACTACGAGGAGCTAACACAATGATCAACCCTAACCTCACGAAATGGTAGAACAGTCTGGAGACCATCCTCTTATTGTCACACAATAATTGGGCACAAGAGGCTCATGCAGGAATCAGATTGTAGAGATTAGAAATTAAGCCACCTCGAGTCAGAAATTGGGGAGGAATGATTTGGTCATCAATGTATGCAAAATTCAACCAACATAGATTTAGTACCCACAGTTCGCATTTATGCTTGCTGTAGGCTGCTCATATTCGAACACACACAAAACTGTCCTCTGCAGATAAAAAAGTGTTTGGACATTGCACCTCTTCAATTAAACTAAACTTTTGAGGGCACTTACCCAGTTGTTCTGCGCCAGAACGTGACAAAATTTTCACTTTGGAACTAAAGAATGGTCATCAGCGCCACTGACAGTTTGATGTTGTAAGTCAAATCGCTGTTCTTTGGAACTGAAGACCGGTGGAAGCTTCACAAGATTTGTGTTGTTGATAAGGGGGATGGGTAATTGGAAGGGAAGTCCGAGATGAGTTTGGAGATTTTCGTCTGGGGGTTTACCATACCTTTCATCTTTAACAGTTTTGTAGCAATTTAATGGACCAGATTAAAGGCGAGATATTGCACTGAAAGAATGGCCAATGTGGTCACATCCATTGTGAGCACTTTTGAAGTTTTGGTCAACATTCCCTTGTCTTTTCGCTATGAGCTCACTTGCATTGTGAACAATTTGCAGAGGGACTTCCGCAGAATCACACATCTCACCAATTTGTTACCATCATCTCAGGCATGTTTCTTCCTATTCCCCTAATGCTGCTGTTGAATTTTCTACCAGATTCAAGTCTCACTCCAGGACCTAATAATGTCTGAAAGTGTTCAAACACGTTGATTGTCAGTCTGTGCATCCTTCCAACCAATGCCATTTGAAGTCAATTATAGCAGGCGCTCCTACCGTGTTCCAGAAAACAACAAGCATGGGCAGGTTTATAGAAACCAAAAACAGACATTGCTGGAGAAATTCAGACTGTTCTGACCCAAGGGTCACCAGGCTCGAAATGTTAACTGTTTCGTCTCTCTCTTTCTCTCCACCTCTCCAGCACTTTCAGATTTATTTCAGATTCCCAGCATACATAATTCTTCGATTTTATTATCATGGACAAGTTCAGATTGTCCCAGCTACTGGAACTCACTGAACCATCAGCAACATGTCACTACATGACACAATTTCTCATGAGTAGAAACAATGCGCAGCCAGAAAGACCAGTTGTAGCTTTGCATCCTCGATGGTACTGCTTGGCACAGGAAATTGGGTCTCACCATTAACTTGCTGGACTGTCAGACCAGGAGCATTAGAACTAGGAGCAGGATTAGGTCATTCAGCCTCTCATGCATGCCCTGCCATTTGATACAACCATGGTTGATCTCATCTCAGCCTCAACTCCACTTTCCTGCCCGTTCCCCGTCACTCTTCGGCCATTACTAATTAAGAATCTTTCTAAATTACCTTTACATTTACTCAATGTCCTGGCACTAACCATACTCTGGGGTACGGAATTCCACAGATTCATTACCCTTTGAGAGAAATAATTCCTCCTCATCTCTGTTTTAATTCTGCTACTCCCTCATTGTAACACAGTGATCTCTTATTCCAGATTTCCCCATAGGAGGATATTTCCTCTCTACGTGTACTTTGTTAAACTCTTCTGGTATCTTATATTGGTCAATTAGATCTCCTCTTATTCTTCTAAACCTGAACGACATAGGCCTAATATATTCAATTGCTCTTCATAGCACAAACTCTTCACCTCTGGAATCAAACCAGAGACCCTTCCTTGAACTACCTCCAATGCAACTCTATCCGTCCTCAAGTAAGAGTCCCAAAACTGTGCACATTGTTCCACTTGTAGTCTCACTAATGGCTTGTACACTTGCAGCAACACTCGCCTATTTTTTATATTCTATTGTGTTTGCAGTAAATTTCAAGATTCTATTCACTTTCCTAATTACAGGAAGGATAGATGTCCTGTTCCAATGAGCATCAGATTCAAGTGTACCTCCTTCATCACTATCAGTCCTAAATCTCTTTCGCCTTGTTCTGCAACATTATCCCTTGGTTCAACCAGGGGAAACTTTCTTTCTGTATTTGTCCTATCGAGCCTTTTCAGAGTTTTGAAAGTTCCAAATGGGAATTCCTCTCACTTTTCTAAACTTTACAGAATACAATTCACATCTCCTCAATCTCTCCTCAATCTCTCCTCATAGGTCAATTCCACCACTCCAGGAACGAGTCTTTGGAACTTTTTTGCACCCTCTCTGCGGGAAATATATTCTTTCCTTGTTGAGGAGACTAAAATGGCACACAACACACTAAGTGATCTCACTAACATTCTGCATAATTGAAGAATGACGTCCTCATTCCTGTACTTAAATTGTCTTATGATAAAGTCCAACAAACCATTTGCCTTCTTAATTTGTTGTGACACCTGCATCTTAGTTTTCAGTGAACCACAATAAGGATACCGAGATATTTTTGGATCTCAGCACTTTCCAATCTCGGATCATTTAATAAATATTCCACACCATTGTTGCTCCTAACAAAGTAGATAATCTCACTGTTATCCAAAAGATATTCTGTTGAATTGAATTGAATTAGTTTTATTGCATTGGGCACTTGCGTTCTTACCAATTCACTCAGCCTGTGCAAATGTGTGTTTTTTTGTAGCCTCTTTGCATCACCTTGACAGCACACATTCCCTCCGAATTCTC